AAATAAAAGGAAGAAGTATGGATGTGCAAATGAAAATTAATGACAACGGAGTGTTCTTCAATTATTTGATACAAAGTAGTTATTATTTAACTATCGTGCAATTAGAGAATTAAACTTGAACGCACAGTCCATGTGTAGAAGGGACCTAAAATCTAGTTGAGCTTAACAAGTGCTCATGAATAGACAAAGAAAAGTACAGTTCCCTTGGAAAAACACAAAAGTTATATTTCCGAATTTAAAAATAAAAACATAAAAATGGGATATTAATTACTCCGTAGAATGAAACTAAAATCCATGTGTAAAAAATCATTCAAACTTACTAAACATACTACAAATTTTTCCCTACACCCCTGTGTAGATAGCACTGCCTGCACCCCCTCTTCATCATAATGACGTCATCTTATAATTTTTCGGTAACGAGTCATATATAAAATGTTCATTTTAGTATATATAAATGTTCATTTTGTAAATATAAATGTTCAGATTTGTATCATTAAATGTTCTATCTTGTTAATACAACGTACTATATACTCATTGTTTCTTAAGCATAACTTTTTTTTAAATCTTTTTATGTATGTACACATGCTTAATTTATTAATTTAAAGTAAATTTTTTTATTTAAAAAATATAAATATATTTTTATAAAAAAAAAAATCATAAGTGAAAATCTTAAACTTCAATTCAAAAATGTACATATCATATACTTAGTATATATGTTTATTATAAAATGAATTGAACATTGTCTCTAACTTAGTACATTTGGTATACATAAAAATTATGTAGAATTGTCATCCTTGTAATAGATACCCTTCTGCGTACTCTTATGATGTTTAATTTGTGTGTTTTCCTTACACATATATTTTCTTCAATACATACATTATATCGTCTTCAACTTTTTTTTATTTTTTTTATTTCATTGTCCTATGTGATAAGAGATCAAAATATATTTGAGGAATAAAACAAAGGTTGGATTTTTAGAAGAATAAAGTGTAAAGGTTGGATTTTTCTTTTCCATTTTTCCTAATAACAAACAAGTATTAAAATTAAAACAAATGTCTTTTAATGTGAGGATGAATGAATAAGTATAAATCTAAATAACATGTTTATATATGAGAATAAATATTGAATTATATTGCAAATGAACATCTTTCTATATAAGAATGAACATATAATGTAAAGAGAATGAACATGTATCGGATTTAATTGAAAATAAATGAACATAAAATCCATCTAAAATGATCAATGTTCCACCCAAGATGAAAATTTACAATAGATTGATAAAAAATATAGGAAGGAAATGGAGATCATGACTTTTATCATAATTCTAATAACCATATATTAATACGTGCATGAACATATACTAGTATATAAATGAACATCAAAATGAAAATGAACATTCATGTATGAGCTGAATTTATATTTCTATAATCATATGAAATGGAACAAATCCAGAAATTAAGGCAATTAAACTCAATTTTTTTCTAGTAAATTTATAATTTTTTTTTTCCTGACAAGCATGAAGCAGGGGATTATATTAAAGCTTTGTTCTCTAAAACAAACACACTTACATCATGAGGGAAATCATTGATTAGAAATCATTGATAAAAATTAATTCAACTTAAAGTAGATTATTATACAAAACATCTTATAAGAAATCACTGAGTCGTGTTTGGGTCTCGAAATCTTCTTTTGATAAAAATTATAAGAAATAAAAAATTAGGGTTTGTATTTTTTTTTGAAAATAAACAAAATCAACTTACAATTTGATTGTTAGTCATTTTATGATCTTTTGTAGAAATTTTCTGCAATTTGTCTCTTGCATGCAATATTTTGGTAGAGATCTAAGAGCATTTGAATATTTTTGTAAGACAAATTTGGGAGATTTTGATAGTTAAGGAGTGAAAAAATGGAGAGAGAAAGGGGTAAAATTATGAGGAGAGAGAAATTTAGAATGTTGGTAAAATTATACTCCGTAGGAAAATTGATTTATAAAATGAGAGAGAAAATGTGGGAAACAAATTTTTATTGTTTATAGGTTGTATAGTGTAATAGTGTATGTGGGAGGGAGGTGTATGTAGGTAATTAGGTATTAATACCTACACTAGGGTGTAGGTGTTAATAACTATTCAACAACTACCAACTTTGCAACAAGCTGGGTCTTGATTTGCGAGAATTGGGCTTCGGTCTTAATGAGCTTCATTAACTTGAGTATACTTTGGACCTCTTTTATTTAATCGGGCTCTTAATTATCGTACTAAATTTCTCTAACACGGTCTTGGGCTTTAAATACACGGTCATAAAATACGATCTGATTCTAATATCTTCATAGTGGCTCAAAAAACTCGGAAATTATCATAAATCTGCAAATTCCTACAAAATAATATCAACTCTACAAAAACACTAGAAAACGTATATTAGTAATAAAAATAGCTCCGGAGAGCTCAAATAAACACATAAATGACCGTGGAACGGAGAATATATATATATATATATATATATATATATATATATTCCCCTGAGTCTTTTTTTCACCATATACCCATGAACTTTTTAAACTTTCATCATATACCCTCGAGTTTTCACAAAAATACACAATATACCCTCATGACTTGGTTAAAAGTTGGAACGCCAAGTGTTGCTGCCTCGCAACTTGGCTAAAAGTTTAGCTTTATATATTAGTTATATGATATATATGTTCGAGTAAAATATTGGTTTAAATACATCCCAATCACGACACAAATTGGACATAAAATTTTTTAGAAACTCTTAACACTAACTCGTTTTTTATTTATTTATTTATTTTTTTATTTCGTGTCCAATTTGTGTTGTGTCATTTAAAAACAGTATTAGGCTCGTTAATCAATTTCGAATAAAATATTGGTTTTTTTCTGAGGTGATTTGGGATGTGTTAACTTTGCGTGGGAATTTCAACACTAACTCGATCTATTTAATTAAACATGTTTATAACCCTTGATATAACCCAACATTTTCATCTTCAATTTGTGTCGTCGTGTTAGCGTTTGCTAACTCTATTAACAATACCTTAACCTTGTTCGAAATTATATTGTATGAATGAGGTTGGATGAAGAGACTAAGAGAGCTTTCTCTATTTTAATTTTTTTTCAAAATTAAATAATTTATCTTACGTACTTTGTATAAAAGGTATAAAAGTATAAAAGAACATTACATATAAATAAAAGAACATTACTTATAAATAAAAAAGTCGTAGTTGTTTCGGATGAAAATAATAGGACCTTGCCGAAGGTTCGAAGAAGTGGATGAAGAATAGCTCGGTCCAAATGATGTTGGGCCGAGGGTTTCCTGCATAGCAAACACACGTAAACTGGCCTCGGGGTTTGTGCCGAGGAAGGCCCCTCCGATGCCGAAGTCAAACAGTGTTTAGAGAGAGAAAGCTATGCAAGAGTATTAATTGCTTGAGGCTTGAATGTGAATGAACCATAAATGATGTAATTGAAGGCTTTTATACCTTAGCATGACAAGGAGAAGAGGTGAGCTTGAGGTCATATGGGCTGACCATGATGACTTGGTTCGTTGACTTGAGATTGACTTGGCAGGATTGGAGGCTTGGGCCTTGACCTTGACTTGGATTGGATCATTTAATGACCGGGCCCAATTAGGCATAATTGGACCCAAACAACTTGCCCCCCAGACCCGATTTGGAAGGATGACGGGTCGGGTTTGAATTTAACAAAAATGGAGGGAAGTAAATGATTTAATAAAAAAAAAAAGATTTAAATTTTAAACAGTCATTAACGAAATAACTGTAATAAGGATAATTAGTAGGAAGTTAGACGAATAATGGGCGGTTAATCAAAAGGGAGTGTGTTTAACGGTTACTTAAGGAGGCATTTAAGAGGAATTAAGAATTCTGACCCTCGAAATTCTTATTTCTGGGGAAAAAAAAGGCCAGATTTGCTCTCTCTCTCCTCATTTCTTCCCCAATTCGCACTCGAATTTCCCTGAAAACGTCATGCTCCGCTTCAAAACTTCACTCAACACCCCGAAATCAAAGCTTGAAGATTGTATCGTTTCTCCGACTAGTTTAATCGGCTAATTTCACTTCATATAAAGGTAAATTTCTTCGAATTTCCCCTGACTTTCTTGAATTTTTGAAAGAATTCCCTCTTTTTTCGACTTTTCTCTTGTGAACCCGACAATGGCTAGAGGAAGTGGACGCCAACCTAGACGACGAGGTCAGGCTAGGGACCCAAGGGGTCGCGCCGACGTCTGGAACGGGGAAAGAGTAAGGGAAGACCTAGAGGAGGGTATTCCGACCACTCCCTTGAACGCTGCGGCACCCCAACAAGGTGCTGAGGTTGGTGGCGCTGAGTAGGAGGAGGTTCTGCCTGTTGTGCCTTAGAGCTTGCTCCCCGGGCACGTTGAATGGAAAAACGCCGAAGCCCTTGCAGCTATGAGGAGAAATACGCCTTACTCTTGGTGGGTCAGGCATGCCGAAGCCTATCGGTTCGCCGAACAGATAGAGCTGCATTACGGTATCTTTGAAGAGGATGGGTACTGGTGCCGAATGCCTGCGCCCGCTAAGAGAATCCATTGTCCACCTCCTGGGTATGTGGGGGTGTACACTCGGCAGCTAAAGTACGGGCTCTGGTTCCCTTTGGATCCCTTCGTCAGGGATATTTTGATAAAGTACAGGATTTCCCTGTGCCAATTGACACCCGTCAGCATTTGGCGGGTGATGACTTATCTCTAGGTATGCCGGTTCTTTGCTGTTGAGCCGAACCTGCATTGCTTTCGAAAGGTGAATAAGTTGGTGCCGAACACCCAGAGTCAATATGGTCAGCACGACTCTGGCTGGTGGCGAATGGAGAGCCATCCGCAATACTTGACTATGTGGCCGAACGATTCTTCGGATAAGGATTGGAGCGAGGGGCCAGTGGATCTGGGTAAGAGCCCCAGCGGATCCAGAGCACCCCCACTTTTTCGGGGCTCCCCGCTACCTCTCCAGGCCTGATCCGAACATGCAGGATTTGGGTCCTGAAGACCCTGATGCCCTTCGCCACCCCAGCTACGAGCAGATTAACTTTTTCGGGAAGCAAGAAAATCCCGGGGGAACTGGCCGAATGAAGTTCATCCCGACGAGATGGCTTCCAGAAAACCATTACGTCTTCCAAGAGAAGATGCTGGCGGTTGTCGGCCTCAGCCGAAAGCACAGAGGCGGTAAGTACCTTCGGCTGGGGTCGAGGACTTGCTTTATTTGCTTCCTTTTCGCTTTATTTTTAATGTCTGCTTCATTAAGCTAACTCTTTTACTCTGCCCTTTTAGAGCTGAGCGAGGCCACTTCAGGGATTGACTATGATCGGCTAGGTGTGAATGCTGAAAGAGTCATCTTAGACCGGGCTACCGCAATCACTGACCCGAAGGACCGTCCACTGCATCTGCATTCAACGGGTCATCAGATTGAGGCTGCTGCAGATTATCTAAAGCAGAAACCTTGGTGGGCGAAGCAGGATCCTTTGAGGCCTTTGCTGTCTGAAGAAGAACAGGTTGCTCGGACAGCTGAGAACGTTACTAGGGCGATTGAAGCCTTAGAAGGAGGTGAAGGGACCTTTGGTGCTTTCGAGCAGGGAACTTCTGCAGCCGAAGATCAGCCGAGGGTTTCGGTGAGTTCCTTAGTCCTTTTCTTTCGTTGTTTTTCTTCTTCTTTTTTTTTTTATTTTTTTTTTAACTCGAGCCCTTCCTGCCCCCCATTTCTACAGTCTGAAGAAGGAAGCGGAAGGAGAGAAGGGAAAGCACCTGTTCGTCCTGAAGATTTGTCATCGTCCGAATCTAAAGAATCTGATATGGATGAGCAGCCCCCGACCAAAAGAAGGAGGAAGAGGATAACAGTACTAGGTCCTCGTCAGTTTCAGACGAGGCCGATGCCTACTGGAGGCATCAGCATAAGGGAGCCTGATGAAGGTAGAGGCTCGCCGAGGGCTCCCCCTCCGCCAGAAAACCCTCCTCCTCGAACCCCTCCACCACCTCCCGAAACTCGAGAAATGGAGGTGGATCAAAGGACTCCTGACCCGAAAGGGGGGGGTTCAGGGGGAAGATCTGAACCAAGGGAGTGCCGCAGGGCATTCTGTTGAAGCTGCTGAGAAACCCGCTGCAGAGGGTTTCTCGGCTGATATTGAGAGAGAGGTTGACGCGCTGATCAGTCAACCTGAGACAGGAGAGGAAGAGGAGGTCGCAGTTGTCAACCTGGTGGAGTTCAGCTGGGCTCCACTGAAGGGGAGAAGAATGCTGAGCCAGATAAGGTTCAGGAGGTTCCTTCGTCTTCCTTTCCTTCATTCCAGACATTACATTCTGGAGACATGGGTTTCTAGGCCCCCCGCATTTCAATCCCCGACCACGTTTGGGAGCTTATCTGGGGTCAGAACCGAGGAGCTGCGGCCTACTTCGACGACCTTATTGGCATGTCCGAGGTAGATCGGGCTAGGGTGTGGTCACTTAAGGCCACTACTGGAATGGGGGAGTCTAGCCGAAGGGTCCCTGATCGTGTCAGAGATAATCAGTGACAACTGATGCAGGTACTTTGCCGTTTATTTCCCCTTTCTCTAGTTCAACTCTTCAGTTCAAAGTTATTTTACTATTGTTGTTTTTTTATTATTATTTTACTGACGTGCCCTTGTAATCAGGTCATGCACAATCAGACTCTTACTGTAGAGCTAATAGACACTCTCCAAGACAAGCTGGAGAATGCTTGGGAGGACACGAAAATTGCCCAAGAAGAGGCAAAGCTAGCAGTGCTGAAGCAGCAGGCTGCTGAAGAGAAGCAGGCCGAGGCTGAGAAGTATGAGAAGCAGGCTGCACAGGCCCTCCAAACCTTCTGCCATGCCATGGAGACTGAAGTCTTCCCAACTCTGATGGCCGGGGAGAAGGTCATTAACGAGTTCGGGGCCTTCGACATCCCTAGCTTCAAGGCGGCCATTGCACGCTGGGTGGCTGATGAGGCAGCTGGGCAGGTCTAGGAGATGCAGCAGAGGCTAGAGGCCCTTGAGTCCAGTAAGATGGCTGCCGACGAGGCACTCCAGGCTAGGGACGCCCAGCTTTCCGCAGCCCGAGCTGCTGCTGAGGCCTAGGATCAGAAGCTGCAAAATCTGGAGGATCAGCTGAAGGCTAAAGAGGATGATCTGTCCCAGGCTAAGGCCGAAGCTTCACGGGTTCAGTCGGAGCTAAATGAACAAAATACTTCCTCCTCCAAACTCTTTGATGAGTTGAACAAATCTAAAAAGGATTTGGAGGAGAGTCAAAAGAAGCTGGCTGATGCTGAAGCCTTGCTCCATGTTAGCCTCTATATCCAGGAAGAGTATGAGATGGGCTACACTAACGGGTTTAGGGTGGCCAAGAGGTTGGCTCTCCATGCTGAGCCTTATCTGGATTGGGCTAAGTGTGTTGTCTGGGTCTAGGATCCCGAAGATCCCCATATGAAGTTCCCTACTCCCATTGAGTTCGAAATTTTGAAAGCTGAAGAAGCCGAGGAGGAAGCCGAACTAAGGGAGATAGAGGCTGAACAGAGAGCAACGGAAGCCCAGATGAAAGCCCAGCCTGCCTCTTCTGATGCCGGAGCTGAGTCTGCCCAGGAACAAGGCAATGCTGACCAGCCTGACCCTTCGGCTGAAGTATAGGAACTCGGGCAGTCGTCTTCAGAATCTTGCGGATCAACGTGTGCTTAACTTTAGACTTGCCGCTTTCTGAATATTTCTTTTTGCCTTGTTTTTTGCTTCATCTTGCCTTGATGTACAAACAGTTTAATTTTTGTCTTTGTACGTATTTCAGCAGTTGTTATTTTCCGCTTGTGGGCGGCTGCCGATATTTTCTTTCTATGTTTTCAGACCATTATCTTTGTAGCTCGTAATCCGAGCATACTTTTTATCTATGAATCTGATATTCTCCTCTTATTGCCTTGCTTTGAACTTGCATGCTTGCTTTTCCGAATTTTTAAATTCTAATTCTTCGCATAATTTGCTAAGTAAAAAGCTTTGGAATGAAGGTCTCATCTGAGGCTGTCTGCACTTGTAGAGCATCTTGTCCCCCCCCCCCCAGAATTGAAGACTTGGCCTTTGGATTTCTGGGATGGTTTCTTATTATATTTTTTTTGCTTTCGGTTGAAGCAAAGTGAATTTCTAACAGTTATGCTATTGCTCTTGATTTTCTGCCTATTAGAAAGAATGGATACCTGAAACACAGGGCCAGCTGAAGGCAATGTTTCAGATAATGGCTCTCTGGGATACAAGGCTCAATTAAGGCAATATCCCAGATTTGTCCATGGACTCACTGCCTTGCAGAACAGGTCTTGCTGAAGTTTTCGCCCCAGCCGAAAGACCAGTGTTCTTTAAAAAGGCGGGTTCATCATGTAGGAGTTTATAGGTACTACGCAGCGGAAAAACATGAATCATATTCAATCAAGTACCAATCCCAAGAATCACATGCATAACACACAAGACACATAATCATACCTTTGACGCGTGAATTCCACGAAGCTATTCGACAGGCAAATCAGGGAGAGAATAGAGCCCCAAGCATTGCTCCTCTACTTAGTCCACGAGATTCGAACGAGCCGTCCACCAATACTAGATTGGTCGAGTGATTGAGGAAAACCGCGATCACCACCTTTATGGACAACCGACCACCGCACGAACCACCACCACCACGACACACCGCCGGCGCCTAGGAGGAGGAGAGAGCCGTGAGAGAGAGGACTTTGAGAGGGTTGGGTTTCGTGTTTGCTAATTCGGGTTTGATCACACTGATCAGTTAATTCCTTCTATCCTTGCAAACCTAGGCACCTAGTCTATTTATAATCTCATTATATTTAGACTAGGGCACGAAGCCCAAAACTCCTACTAATCCACTACATAGCCGGCCACCTAGAGTGATGAGGCCCATGATGGGCCTCGTCCTCTAATGCTCGATCTAGCCCCTTTGTATGACCTTATAACATCCATCCAATTGGTCTATTTTACTAGTCCAAAGATCGTTAGTACCTCTAGCTATGGAAAAACGACACCCAAAAGTACGAACTTAATTATCTCCATAATTTGATCCATTTATATATCTAGTAATTGCACACGACGAAGACATAACTCCTTCAATCTCCCACTTGTCTGAGACAAGGGTGCAATATTCAAATTCCTTAAGTCAATATATGTGTCGATTTGATAATATGATTGCATCACATGTCGAGATCATATTAATCTACAAATCGTTTCTTGAAATCTGAGTTAGAATTACAAAACCAAATGATTAATGTGTAATGCATTTGAACGCGGCCACGTATTTTCTGAATTCTCCCTCTTTAAGCGGCCATGACACATTTCCTAATTTAATAGGTAGACTCTATCCAATCTTGTGGTAACATGACTCCCACTCAACTTCTGAAATAACCGGGAAACACCCTTTATAATCTCCAGTTACGGCTAGACGTTTGAGTGTACCATAGTCACAACATCCATTGAATGAAATCAATGTTCCACTCATGTCAAAGGATTCCACTAATATATACGGAAGCTCTATACTTGAACTTCAAAGTAGGTCAATAGTTCGATCATGCATCATTCATGCATATCCAAGTGATTGACCGAGCATCACTATGCCCCTATAGCCCATGAAACTTCGCTATCCAATCAATCTTACATGCTAGTCCATTTATTGAAATCATTTATGTCCACTTTAATGATCTCGAACTAGGAACTTTAAATAATATATGATTTTGTTCACCTGTGGGGTTTCAATTCACCAGGTCATCAACCTGATGAGCCCATCAATTCATAATTATTTTGGACATTTTATTTAATTTCCAAAACCATAATTAAATAAGAGAAATAATAATTTCTATTTTAAACGTAATTCTGCAAATTGATGCATTTCTCATGTAATATGTTTTCTCAAAACATATACAACTTAAATTACACAACTTGCTTCAATCCTAGGACTTTAATATGACTCTCATATCTTAGTCCATGGAAGGAGTTTAGTGATTTCTCACTTATAATAAAACTTTGCAGAACACGACCTTCCGCTGGTCAGTGATCTCATAATTGAGGTGATATCTCATATCCTTTTGTTTGGATTTGTGATGTGACTCTAGCCTCTTTGTTCTTTGGCAAAGGTGACCTATTAGTCACATGACATTCTAATCCGAACTTCCTCTGTAACTATCTGACTATAGTTTAATACACATATTCTGACATCGAGTATGCAACAGTGCTCTGCTTTGAACTCTCCAAGCTCACTGTCCTTTTCCATCCAGACACGAACATGCATTTAGATCACCATCTAGAATCATCTTGCCTGTTTGGAAACTTGCATTCGTGTAACCTTTTGACAACTTTCTTAAATTACCATTTAACACAATAGCTAGAAATATTCCTTTTAGTGCTTCTCAAGTACTCAAGGACTTTTCTTGGTAATTCTCCGTATGCTTATTCTGAATTTGCTTGAATTCTGCTACACATGCACAAGTCATATGCAACATCTTGTTTTGTACATTTCATGGCATAAATAATGGACCCTTTTGCAAAAGCATGAGGTACATTATCCATACAACTCAACTCTATTAGCTTTTGAAGGCACTAAGTCTTACTGAGTGTATTACCATGAAACATGGGAATATATCCTATCTTAGAGTCTTGCTTCATGAACTTGTCAAACTCCTTATCAACATAAGTCTCTCGATTCATTCCAATCATTCTTCAAGATTTACTTCATGGATCTTAATTCCCAATATGTACTCAACATCTCCTAAGTCTATCATATTGAAACAATCTTTCTAACCATTTCTTGACTCATTCAAGCATTGATATATCATTTCATATGAACTATATGTCAACTACATACTAGACTAAAAAGACCAATTGCTCCCACTAAACTTCTTGTCTCTACAAGAATTCTTTCGTTCTACTAAGGAAATCAAATTGTTTGATTGCCTAATCAAAAGCGAATGGTCCAACTCCTTAATGCTTACTTCAATCCATAAAATGAATTTCTGAAGTTTGCAAAACTTTCTAGGAATTTATGGATTTCAAAACTCTTAGGATGTATCATATACATTTTCACTATCACGAACATTTCATGAAGGTGATTTTGATATCATAACTAGAATAATCCGAATAGGCTTACCCAACTAATAGGTTTGACCCTATTTGTAAGACTATTATGGACAAACACATCTTTACAAACATGGAGTCCATACTGGATTTCATGGCTTTAATCCATTTACTGAGTTGACACTTATCCAAAGCTTGCTTGTAGGGCATGGATTCTAACCGATCTAATAAGAAAATTTTAGCATCCACCTTTTTCAGAATTTCAACAAACTGTTTGTTTTGATCCTAAGTCACCTACGATAGGTATGAGCGACAATAGAATTATTCTCTTCAACTCTTTGAAGTCTTTCATTCTAGTGGGACGATAGAAGCCTCGCTAGTTGAATTAGCTTGCTTTGACACATGTTTTATCAAATTAGCTGATTTCATATGCCTTCGTCTCTGATGTAGTGTTATCCACATCCATTTGTAGCTCGTCTCGAATCTCATCGAGATCTAACTTTACTCCCACTTGGCTTTGTAGGAAGACATTCTTTCTATAAAGTCACTATCGCGAGCAACAAACACTTTGTTTCTACGCGATTGTAGGAATAATACCTCTTAGTTTCCATGAGAAGACCCATGAAGAACTACATTTCTGATTTAGGGTGTATTATGTTATCTTTGTAAACATTTTACATTGATTTCATAACCCTTAATCCTGTTTAGAAAAGATAACTTTTGGAACATTTCCAAATCATAACTCTTATGACATCTTTTCTACTGCTTTGGTTAAGTTTCTTGTTTAGTATATTCGCAATTGTTGTTGTTCTAATGCATATCCTCAAAATGATATTTGTAAATCATTAAATTTTGGATCGAACAATGGCAAGCAAAGTTTGATTCCTTCTTCATAAACATACAATTTAATTGTAATGTTTCTGGATTGTGAATTAATTCAACAATTCCCTTTAGATGATCATTCCTTTGAGTAAATATTTATCACAACAATCATATTGTGGTGTTAAATTGTTTTATCTCAAACTGATTTTACATTTCATTTTTGGAATTTTGAACTTTTCAATTATTCCAAGCTTTACTTCATTAAGTAATTATCGATATGCTTACTTAAATCGTTAGTAAAAGCAATGAAATAGTTAAATCTCTCTTTGCTAATTTTGAACTTATTGGTTCACATACATCATATGTATGAGTTCCAAAAGGTCATTTTAGCTTCTTTTACCCTTTCTACTAAAAGGCAACTTGGTCATCTTAACTTTTAACAAGCATGACTTCTAATTCTCAAGTGATTCATAATCATATAAGAATGAGAGTCCATCCAAAACTTTGGATGTGCAAATGGTTAATGTGACCTAACTTTACTTGTTATAAGTAAGTGTACTTTGAATCATCTAAATTTACTTTTGTGATCTACTTATATCAATGACATAAAACAAAATTAACTCATATCTAGCAAAATGAAAACAATTTATTACCTTGGTCATGGATCAACACTTGTCCAAGCCTAGTAAACCAAATTCAGTATTCAAAACAAGAAAACCAAAATATTGTCTCATCAAAACTGGAAATTGTTCTAAAAT